TGCATTTCTTTTAAGTCTTATTTTTTGAGTGTAACAGTCGGTAGGTAACAAGCTACAGGAAATCACGCAATGTGAACCCGCCGTTGAAGAAGGCAACGTGTTAAAACCTGTATAAGATTGTGGCCACAGAGTCTTTCCTTCTTTAGAGTAAGTATTGCTTCCAGTTTGCCGGTCGACTGACTTACAGTGATATTTCGATGAACTAACTTGTATCTTCCTCTCTTTTCAGGACCTCAAAAGCTCAATAGACACCACGCACGATGAAAGCCATACGCTTCCCAGGACACGTACTAATAAAAATGACTTATACGATTCATATTTTCATGTCGTACAACATGGACCTTCAACTTTTTCCCGGTAGAGATGGATGGGGCGCGTCAGCCGGCCTATTGGGCATCATGGACCCTAGCCACATATTGGTCGTGTGCGTCAGCTAAGTTCGTTTAGATATCCGCTTTGATCGACGACATGGTCTCTGGCATGTTTGGCAAGTCAAAAGGGGACGCTCTCCTGTTTAACGACGAATTTGCGTAAGTAATCAGCACCCGCAAGTCTTATGTTCCTCCAACTTCGCGTAAGTGATCCGGCACTAGTGAAAGCGGCTTCCGCGATGTTAATTCGGAAAGAAATTATCATGATCCCCGAACACATATTCCGGAATTCGACCAGTGAGGCAGAAACGAATAGCAAGAATTATTTACAGGAGTGGTGTCTCCGCAGATTTTGAATTTATAACTGCCAAATAGTTTCCGGAAATTTAATGAATTATTTCAGCCGCAGAATTGTTTGCAAATTCAGTTCAGTGCAATTCAGATGTAACTCAAGGCTGTACATGGACTGGGATGCTGCCGGGGTGCATACACCCATAGAGGAAGAAGATTAGGGTCCCAAATCAAAACATTCGAATAAAAAACCTTGACTGCAAGGTAGTGAGCTTTGGCGGGAAATTTAGGTGAATTTCAGTTTTCACAAAACAAATCGCCACACATGTTTCAGCCTCTAACCTGGAGGACCAGGAGACTGTGTTCGTCAGACCTCCAACCATTGACCAACTCGATATGGAAGACTGCCGGTGTCGCTCGGACATCCCACAGTATAGGTCGCGGAGGTTCACAAATCGTCAAGTTTCAGTCCCTTCCTGACGGTGTGGACGTTGCAGCCATACAGTGTAGGGTCATATTCTTAAAATGCAGTCACTGAACATGCCACATGCATTCCAGAGCAAGGCACTCAACTTTGTGGAACGTTTTGAGTATCTTGGAGGCTGCATTAGTTCTGATTGTGGAGTGATAGATGAGTTGAATGCACGAATCTGCAAGACTCGGGTCGCGTTTGCTAAAGTGGGACACCGATATTTACAACCCTCAGGAGACGTGTGTATCAGTATGGGCTTTTTGTTGCATGGTTGTGAGACTTGGTCTTTTCGAGCAGCGGAACTGAGATATTTTCCGGTGGTCGAAAATTGTTGCCTCGAGACCATATCTGGTGTGGATTGTTGTCGGTGAACCCGTAACAAGTCAACTAAAAAGCGAGCGTTAGGTTGTGCAACAGCGACCTCCATCGAGGACTGTCCAGCACCAGAAGCCGCATTGGTTAGGCCATGTATTGCGTATACCGAAGTGAGCGCCGCTTTCCGTGCCCATTTCAGAGTAGAGGTGACCAACCCTTAGCCTGGCAGGGGGTATGAAAGAGATCACGAAATGTGGTGCTACTCGCTTCTCGGGATCGGGGAAGCTTGATCTCTACTGCATCTGGATGGAGACGCCGCAACATATGACTGACAATCAATGTCAGTGACGCTTTTGTTATCATTTTCCATGCAGATCGTCTGAATGAGTTCCTGGACGTGTAGGCATCTTGGAGTGATTAAGGTAGGCTAGCACGGATTCCCTTTCCCAACTACATTTATTTTTTCTCCACAATTAAGCTTTCCAATAAATCATGATTTTATGGCAGCGAAATATCAACTCAGAGCACTGATTTTATACTGTTTATGATGCAAATTTCTCAGAACGATTGTGCCACGTGCTTGTGTACTATGCCAAACAACAAAAGAGAGGAAGGCACTTAATCCTAGGTTAGTTTGCCCCCTGCCAGATTGACGAACTTTCGTAATTCCACACACCATCACAAAGACCGATGCATGGTAAAGTTCACTCCAATAAGTTGTTATCAGGCAACCCCTTATTTCATTGGTCTCCAGCAGTTTTTTCGACTAGTTTAAGGCAAGTAACACTCACTCATTTTCAGTTCGTATTTGATATGTGTACCGTAAAACCTATCGGTGGATTTGTCACGCGGATTGATCAGTGCCTTATTCTGGCCATCAAGCCTATTACCGTTTCAGAGTTCTGCGCTTTCTGGTGCAGATAACCTTTTCCGTTTGCCTGACACCTAAACCGACGAGTGAATACGTGTAAGCAAAATCAGCCTAACTCCTGTAGATGATGGGCATCAATAAGGTGAGCTCATCTCGGTTTAATACTACAGAACGAGAACATCGTGGAAACCTAGACGTGATTGGTGAGCAGGACCTGGACGAAATTTCTCCGTGTACGTGTATTATAAAGTGTAACATTCAGACATCTAACCAGATTACAGTGAGTGTGGTGGGAGCAGCTACTGAAAGTATTATGGACACGGTTGGAATTGCTCTTGAGGAGAATATTGATAGCTCAGGTATCGTATATAGTCTTCGGGTTTTTTTGCCAGGCCGTGCAATCTGATTGCGAGCGTTTCTCCACCCATCGAGTTGACGTTATTCATGACTCATCAAAGAACGGAACGTTGTGTCAGTGGTTGGGCGTTGCGTATTATTGCGTGTATGTTAATATACGTGCTGCTAGCCGGGGCTGACTTTCGATCACGATTGGTTGTTCGGCCAAGTGGTTCCATTGGTTGGTCTGCTGTTCTGCGTCATAATTGCGCAGTGAGCACGTGGTCTTTGAACTCGGCCTCCTCTGTTCTCGTCCACTGGTCGACGCTGAAGTGATCTCCGTCCTTGACTTCAATGGGTCTCTGCGACTCCAAGGTTTCTACTATTTCTTCGCCTGATAATTCGAAAATAGGGTCTCCTTGAGTGTTCTTAACCCTAACAACACATTGACGAAGTCAACTTGGTTAATGATGAAACAATTGCAATCAAATTTTCCGGTTTAGCGAACAAACCAGCGACTACAGCTTGATTTTTCGGTGGATGGCACTGATTACAATAATAGGATGAAAGACGAGTTTCTACTACCACAAAAGCTACAACTTTTGCACAGGGAATAAGTACATGCGAAGAATTGTATATAAGGAACTGGGTCGTTACCCTATTCCCACGTGAACTCAGAGGCACATCAGTCCTTCAGATTGATTCTAACCGATACTTATGCCGTCCTGTGTTATCGGTCAAACATGTTCTGAGCTGACCAATCCATTCACCTACTAGACTAAACTTGGAAAGCAACCGTCAGCTGGTTTACTGTCGCCTCTATGGATCGAGAAGCAAACGTAAGTTAGCATTCAGCCCTAATGGGGCAGCCGAGATCACCGATGACTGCAGCTTGCAATAACGTCACCAAAATGCGTTGTCCTCCTCGGCATTAGTCAGACAAGCGTGTTTCAGAAAGTGAAAGTGCTTGAGAAGAACAAGATCAACGTCAGTCAATGACTACGATGCGTAGCAGAAAGTCCGAAAGTGGACATAATACCTGGAGCAGCGAGATACCTAATCCGACTTGACACGCGATAGTTTCTTTTGTAAAACGCCGTTTCCCAACTAGAGCAAGCAGCACCCAGTCTGCTGAGTAATCTAGTGGGACCCGAGGGTTGGTGGGATAAAAATATTTGGAAATTTCCGAATTGGCTTCGAATTAACTTGGTACTCTAGAATTTGCCTATACTTGTTGAAATTTTGCAATGTTCCAGCGCGAAACTTCCGAAACAAGGTCACTTGCTTAGCAGAGACCATCCTGAGGAGCCATAACATTGCGTCGACGTTTCTGCTTTTCTTCATAAACTTCCTTAGTAACATTCTTGTTACGACCTGATGGGAAACTTAATGCATCTAAACAATGCCGAGATGACTTGATACCAAGGTAAGATGTGTTGACGGAAGGGATCACAAAACTACGGGCTCCGTGCAAGTTTCAACATCATCTTGTAAAATTAAACTTCACCTCGAGTCACATTTAGACGTTTGCCGAGAAACTAAAACACCCCGAAAAAGTTCTACCGATAAATCTCATGTAAATATCCCAGAATGTCCTATTATGAAAGACAGATTTATACAACCTAGCGGTTTGTGTCCATGCTTACGTTGGGTGGTAGTGCACCTAGCCCCCAGTGTCACGCCTGGGGGTGCTGACTATGGAATCGGTTCCCTGCCCATCTACTTAACTTATTCGTGGGACAAAAAGTCTAACAACGTCAATCAGTTAAAATGCATCCTATGTGACTAACAGCTTCATCTGGTAATATAAAGTCTTAGAAATTGCCGAAATATCGAACAATTTTGGCCGTTTCCGGTGTTTCAGCAAATACTGACGGAACCGATCGAATAAAAGGTGTCGTTTTTTGCATAAAACTGCAAACTAAGTGTGGCTAGGTTACACTCGAACTTTCAGTTAGGCTACCAGGGCACAGTTCTCCATTTGAAGCTGTAAACTTTTACGGCTTCGCACCAGTTACTCTAGGCAATCAACTCAAAACCCCATAGAAAACCGATCTGATTTACGTCATCCTAGACTATGATTTTTTCGAAAGCCACTTTGTCCCCAGTTTTGCCTGAAAGTCACATATTTTCTGTATTATTGCGAAAATATTTGCCGCAGCCTCGTTTAGGAAACTCCTGTTTATATTTAAGCTGTCTGCTCTTGTCCCCTTTATCTATGCAGATCTTTCCCATACATTTGTAGCCACTGAGGTAATTGGTCTCTCCTGTTGGAGTGAATGAGGCTATCAGTGGCTCGACTTGACTTCACCCAACTGGAATCAGAAAAGAGCAGTAGAAAGCCGGAAAATCATCGTGTAACTTCAAAATGCAGGATGATAGAAGAATCAGGTAGTAAGGTGCAACAGAGCTGTTCCGGAGGTGGGTGGTCAGGAGGCAGAGCAATATCGACAGACTGTACAAATAATGGTTCATAAGCATGATGAGATGTCCTGAAGATCCAACCGAGAGCGTTTAACTTCCGGACCGGCTTCCAGGTCGGAGACAGCAGTGGTGGGTGTCTTGTCCGGGTTGAACATTGGCGAGCTGGACACATTTGGTGATTCGTTGGGAAGAAGAGGACTGGATCTATTATTTGGGATACTTTGGGACTGTACTTCCCCACCTTCGCAAAACGAATCAGCAGCTGAACACGGAACAACCAGTGTATGGGGGTCCTCAGTTGTTGATTGAGCTGAGTGGTTTTTTGTAGACGATCCAGGAAATCGGTCCAAAAAGTGAGATAAACGAGTTGCACTGGGTTCCTCACTCATAGTCATCACTAGGGTCCCCGGATCCAACTGTGCATGGGCCGGGATAGGTGAAGTGTGGAGAGAGCCCGTTTGTTCACTTTCAGTTTCGGGCAACACCCCGGTTTGAGAGATGAATAGTTCTGCTCCGGGGAATACATACTGGTTCGGGGGAATGCGAGTGAACGAGTCGGCTGCAAGAAAAATTGAGAAGTCCAATGAGGATTTTGGTGCAATAACAAGCACTGGTACAGTCATCAATTCTCTCTTTCATTTCCGCGCATATAAGCATCAGGCTCCCATAGGGACAGTTTTTCGATTCCCCCATTTCCTTCGATTAAAATAAACGGAAAACCCTGTATAGAAAAAGACTGTCCATACAAAAAGTAGGATTGTCTCTTCTGTTAAACTCAAAAGTACTAATTAAGTGTATGCTGTGTGCAGCTGTATTTTCATTATAAAGGAAGTCATCATGTTATCTGGATCTGAAACCCACCACTTGTAAATTTATATGTCTGGGTGAATGATGTGCCGTAGTGCCATTTCTGCTTCTGATATGTACCTTAATTGAGAGAGGGCTGGATACACAATGGCCCGACTTCAAATGTCGGAGCCGAACTCGACTATGGGGCAAGCATATCCAACCAAACACCCATCTACAGTTTTTACTGGGCGAGATTTTTAAGGTCGGGTCACTGACGACTCCACGAATGCGATCGCAGTTGCATCGGACTTGGACGAATGAAGTTAAGGTAACGGGGATTTTGAGACTGTGCAACAGGACGTGGTGAGGAGGGCTTAGGATAAGGGCGAGATGGGGGTGTCAGTCACCCGGATCGTAACTGCAACAGGTGTTCAAATCGCAAAGCGACAAGGGGGATTCGATTTTCCTAAGTTGTGACTTCCATAACCAGCTGAAACGGTAGTGACAGTGCAATCTGACATCTCCACGTGATTGTGTTCTCGTTGACAAGCACAGACGCGTTGCTAACAATGAGTAAAGCCATCAGTATATGATAACGCCTGTTTCAGTATGGGAAACCTTATGAAATGAGAGCATCAGTTGCCAATTTAGATGAGGTGGTGAAGAAGCTCTGTCCCACTGCGCTGTAGTATGGCTTGCTGGCAATGAGGACATTTAGGATGGGAGTACAACTTGCGGGACGAACAAGAGCTATTACATTCTAGCACCTTGGTGGTAGAGCAACTGTCAGTCGAAGCAATTAGTTACTCTACACCACAATAAGCGCGGCGTATACAGTCAAGGAGTTCGAATAGATGATAACCTGCGAAGAACCTGATGAGCCTAAAGGAGGGTAACATCGATAATGTCGAAGAGTTTTCAGTGGCCTCATGAGTAGCGTTTTCTGCCAAAAAGAACTGGTGTTTGTTCAGTTTTGGTAAAATCAGTAGGTGAATCACAAATAGACAAAATATAGCAAGAACAGAATACCGGAATCCGTCTAAACATAACATACTATTCACAATGTTGCTAAAAACTCCGACAACCCATGAGCAGAAAAGCTGCCACCTTAACATGGAGGTCGGGCTTGAGTGCTGCAATGATCCCCAGGGTACAGGGGACCTCGTTTCTGAAGGTGTAGTCTTTCCAAGTAGTCCAAAAAATCAGACAAGCAGAGGGTCGAAAGAACGAACCAAGAGTAATTATAATTATAACAGTTTGGGAATAAATTTGCATTGTCCTCTCCGACGGGAGTGGGAAGGCAGCAAGGAGTTTACCCAAAACGACCAACACTTCCATATCTATGGAAGCTGCGAAGCTGTCTTCTCCCGCACACTCTGACCGTCCGACAGTTGGCTGCGACCGCCGGAACCGTACTCAATACGGCCGAGAGCCTTTTAAGAACAGAGCTCGATGACCAATAGTACCTGCTACCCACAGTAGCATTGCAGGTCATACAACTGTCGAACTTTTGGGTCAGTGGCTTCAGGCAGGATTTCCCAGGAAAACCCCAAAACCTGCTACCTGCACTGATCACCACCTATTTGTCGCAAAAACAAAGTTTCAAACCAAATGTGAAAATCGCGTTACCTGACTGCCCCCGATCATAACCAATCAACCGGACAGATCAATCCTATAGAAGTTAGCCATAAACGGCGAGTTAAAGATTGTCGCTCCTTTTGGAACATGTTGACCACAAACGTCGCGTTTTGTTTCATGTTCATGTCTTAAATCGTCACCCTGTAAGCAAGGTGACAGTAGTAGGACATTCACCACATGGAAGACGAAGCCGTCAAGAATATATGGAGGCAGACAATTTTCAAATTCGAAACAAACCGGTTTGAAATTCAAACGGTACCTATTAGCTGTGCGTGTCTCGAAACGGAAGCCACCGCCTAGTGTCACTAGTGAATACAAGGAAAGCGATCCAACTAACTGACAGTACGATCCAGCACGAAGGTCTCTGACAGGGCACACGGTCTGCAGTTTCAAAACCAGTCAAGAAAAGTGGTGGTTAATGAAAGCTCAAGAAGTCGAACAGTTACCGTGGGTTCAAAAAACAACGGGATACTGTCCCACGTTAACTGCAACAGTAGACTAGGAAAGCTGCCTTCCGTTGCAGACACTACAGAAAAACACGTCTCAATAATCTATTAAAAGTCGGGTTTTCGGCTTTGATGGGCGAAACACTCCCAAGAAAGGCTTAATCCTAGGTGCCAGTATAATAAGCAACATTCAAGTAGCCTAATAACGGGATACGAACTGCTTGAATCCAATGATGGATGAAATCAAACATGAAACAAACATTCGAAAATAACCAAACACAAACTGTCTCTCTATATCACTTTTAAAGACAGAAGGGGCCAATACATATTCTGACAAAAATCGTGGAAAGCACTTGGAAGGCGATGGTTTTGGATCTGCAAGTGAAAAATATGGAAGTGTCGGTCTAACGAAAATCGAATTAAAATGGCCGACAAGCAACATCCTATGCAGGTTTTCCAGCACTCAGGAGTAGTAGAGTCGTGAGAATGGATGGATGGAACACCTCATTACCTCCTAACAACCTCTCGAGCACAACCACACATGTAGACGATATTTTTCTCATTGAACGTGAAATCGTTGTTTGACTAACTCGACCGCACTTTTTTTGTTCAGCTATAACAGCCTTCCGGTGCCTACCTGCCATGCAACTGCCAGGTTACCCAAGCCTAGGCAGGGAAGTCGGGAGGCAGAGGTCGGTTTCGGACCAGGGACTTTCCGGTCAGTAAGTTCGCGCTCCAACCACTTCAATTATCTTGCCCCAGGCACTTCTTAGTGATGATCTCTGAAAATTTAGGAAGATCAAAAAGTCGACCTTTCTGATGACTTACTACCAAGCCTCGCTGAAACAATGTTCCGAACATCTTCATCAAGGTTTTCCGATCCTCGCATTTCAAAACCCGTGAAACGTTCATCACCGGAAGTGATTTATGTTAGGGCTGTCTTTTGTCACCATTTTTAAAAATTGTGGTTGGATTAACTACCAGAGGAACACCCACCACATTTGCTAATTTCATCGGTGTAAGTTATGGTTGATGAAAAGCTCAAAGAGCTAGAATGTGCTGAGGACATTACCATCGGCCAGGTGATGGATTGCTCCATACATCATGCTTATTGAGGAGCGTTTATAGCGGGATATGCTGCGAGGTAGGCAATGCAATAATAATGAGAGAAACCCAATAATGTAAACGGGTCTTAGCTGCAGCGTTGCATGACGCCTGTGGAGTTAAGGCTTTGGAGGCCAATCAGATCAACGGCCATATGTACTCACTGACACAGCAATGTAATGCAAACGGTGCCACCATTCTACTCTTTCGCCTAATACATAATTCACTATTCAGTTGTTCTACTCGTCCTACATTATCCGCTTCAACAGCGGACGGGGCCTGAACGATTGTTCATATGTACACAGTCGATGGCTGTCAAACTGAATTGAACTGGGCTGAAGCAGTAGTCCAGTGCATTTTTGGCTGCGGCTTGGGAACCTTAAAGAAAAATCTACAACTGCCTTTCTGTCGATGGATTGCTACACTTTTAGTAGTTCCCCTCAGGTGGGTTTTTTTTATAGGAAACCCCCTGAATTTGCTTCCTCAGAGGGGGCAGTTGTATCATTTAGATCTTATGTGGGGCACAGCCGACACTTGCTGGAATGCGAACGGATCAAAAATTGCGCAGTAGCCCTCAGTCCCAAAAGAGTAGCAAGCATGAGCTTAAAACTCTTGGGGGTATGCTTAAGTTCCCACAAAATTGTGAGCGAAATGGGATTTTGTGTACATACTACCTACTTACAAAACAAAAGTAGTAAGATTCTACGGCCAAAAAGAAACTCTTGGTTGTGCCATGAAGTTTGAGGTGTAGGTCACACCAATTTACGTGTAACTGCTCCGCGCTCTGTATACGATGACAAGCGCAACATACTGCTGTACTCCGGCTTGAGTTGCTGGAATAGATCTCAACATGTTTTTGCCTAAAGCGATGGCAAATCGCCGAACCATCCAATCGTCCAAGTCACTTGGATTCGAAAGTTCCGTAAAGAGCCAGATGATACCTCTAATACTTTGAAGTTTTACTTAAAATCATTCTGTACGTATGTTGAGGAACAGACAAAGCCGTAACTTGCTTGTATGTCGCTTTAGCCTAGCAGGTGAGCCACACATTTTTGGTTCAGGGTTTAGTCATTTTTTGGCTCCATCTTACAAGAATATTGTCTATAGTTATGATGCGATTTCCTTGATCCAAATTGAACCGCCATACCTCCTTGGCGTGAAAGTCTACTACTCAGAAAACGTGAAACATTTCCGACTGCTCGAAAGTTTGGTAGAACCACACCCGTGGTGGGTTCGAATTTTCAGAGAATTAGTTGAACCTAACAGAAAACTAAACAGGAAACGGTATTTAAGGTCTAGAACGATCAATGTATTGCCGCATATGCCAGAAAAGTAGCGTTTATACACATAAATACTACGAACCTGACGGAATGACGGACCCATCCTAGAGCCACCCTAATCAAGTAATGTTTGCAGAACCTACAGTGGGGATACGCAAACAGAGTTAGGGGACTGTTCTCCCGAAAATGCAGGACACTTTCTGCTAAGTTGGAGTTTCCAAAATGTAGCTGCCCTAGAGAGAAGTAGTGAGGCATATGACTACTCACAATCAATCACAAAACAGTTGGACGGGTGCTACTGAGGTTTAGAGAAGTTTCATATTAAAATTTAAGGGTTTGAATTCGAGCACTATACATAGGAGATAAAATGTGGACATGATAACCTGGCAGTCCGTGAGTGAAAAGAACATATCTGCGAAACCGGATAATTACCAAGAAGGGCACACAGCAGGGCGATGTAGTTCACACTGTAGCTCTGTTGCCTGTGAATATGAAAACCCGATGGAAGAGATGCAGAAAGCAGGTCGTCTCTTTAACCATTCAGGGTGGATTTCTACGACATCCAACACACGTATGGAAATCACGGCAGTTCCATATGAGCTCAAAGTTGATACGGCCATAAAGGAACAACAAGTAGCGAAACTCACGCGGTAAAAAAGCGGCGACATCCCAAAGTTCGTCTAATTCGCTATCGTCTGACCCCTCGACTTCAACCACTTCGTCAGGTGTGTCATCAAGAAGGCAGGATCTGTCGTTTTCTAATCGACTGGTCCCATTAGCATCAGTTAAGCTGGAAGTTTGCGCCGAGGCGGCAGTAGTAGTGGTATCCTGCTCCTGGGTTTGGTCAACGTCGTTTAGACCGTTTGCTTTGGACTGTTCTATACATCCGGGCGATTTGGACCCAAGTTTTGTCTGCAATCCTCCTTTCGCTCGTTCAGCCATCAAATCACATAAAGGGATAAATTTTCGCGCCTGGGACGACGGTGAACCGGGAAGATTCCAATTTAGATGAAGACACAACTCGTTCACGATCACATCACAGTCCCCTAGCAGCTCCACATCGAAGTCGTGATTTATGAGAGGTTCGCGGTTAATCAATATCTGGGGGACGCTTTCCGGAATCGAATCTAGTAACAAGTAGTAGGGAACCAATAGAATGAAGAAGAAGTAGGTTCGCAAAACTAAACCTATTGAGCTTTCGTTTTTAACACTCTTGTTTCTGATCTTAATCGTGATAGAAAAAGGGGAAACTGTGTAATGAAATCCACCAAGCTATCTCAGTGACATACCGCACCAAAGCATACACAGATCCGCATAACAAACAAACATCTTTCAAACAACAAAAAATTTGAGGCATCCGGATTGTCGATCTGGTGTTTGTGCATTTTGCGACAGCTTTAGTGGACATCAGAATCTCACTCAACAGAGACTGTGCGTCCCAAAGAATCGAACGATTTCGTTCGATCCCAATGGTATCTGTTTCTATGAGGGCACGTTGCATATTCTCAAGTTTTCATCCAATACATCAAAGGACAAAATAGCTTCTGCAGTAGTTCCCTAAGTGAAGAAAGGTGGTTTCGACGAAAGGGCTGTAAATAGAAACAGAAAACACTCGTTTCAACTGGAGCCACTATAAAACAACATGATCGCCACGGTCGTATTCACAAGGAAAGATGTAAAAATGAGTTTGAATGAAAATGAATTGAAACACGAGGTTCACTCACTTGGAATGTGTGCGACTGGTCGAACCTTCAGTGATGAACCAATGACTAAAACTAAATCAGCTTTTTCTACATCACCAGCGAGTGTGTCATGAAATTCGCTGGATAAATCCTCGCCAAAGAATACAATATCAGGTTTTAGAACACCAAACGATGGATCTTTAGGTTTTTGCTGGATTTTCCTGGGCTTTGGGATCCCATTTGAGCCAGTCACAAGTGAGCCACCTCCTGGAGAATTCGAACTGGAAGGGCTCCCATTTGTGGTGCGGTCTGAGGGACGACATCGGGGACAGTAAGGGATCGATTGTGCGAACACTGTTTCTTTGATTTCGTCACCTGATACTTGATATTTACAGGAGGTACAGGTGGCAGTGGCGAAGGAGCCTGAGAAGGAAAAAAAATCAGCTCTTGAATCAATAAGACTTACAGTTGGGTAACTAAAGGCAAAAAATAACAGTAACGTCGATCAAACAGAGCGACTTTGGCAGCTGACTATCGATAAGTCTGGTTCAGCCTTACGGGTGGTATATGGTATCAACAGAAATTAACAAGTTGATTTCGTGAACTAGGACTAGAGCTATCAACACCAGATAATCGGTATTGAGTTACTTAGGTAGTGGGAGAGGGAACCCCAGGTGGATTAATGCGACCGCCTGGTAGCCTAAACAACCCGTGGCGTTCGAGTGTCGGGTTAACAGAGAACTAGCTCACCAGGTTGTTCAAAATAATACTTGACACTACTAAGTGACCAGTTCTGCTTAGCGAAAAGACTTAGATACTTTCAATACAATGTAAACTCGTCCTAGGAAGTGCTTTCAGCTAGCTTGTTATTCTACTTGAGAAAACCCGCAATCCCCGTCATGAAACCAGGCGTCATCTGACGACAGAAATCGTTCTCCCGAGAGTCACAATTGATATGTTGCATTCATTGCCATCTTTGGAGGAAGTATATCACATTTCGGTCAGGTCAGACTGGAAAACAGCTCTACAAGGAATCGAACAATGAATTGCCGCAGTTGGTACCTCATTCTTTCTCAGAATCATTTTCATAATATTCTCCAACAGAGACCAATATCATGCACAAGAAGTAGTTTGACCAGAGCCCCTTGGAGGCAACCATCGTTCGTTCCCCGGGCAACCCCCGAGGCGAAGTTACCAGTACTGCATGTTTCGTTGATGGGTTCACGGATATACGGAGAGAGGAAAGACAGATGCATGCTGTGTGTCTTAAGTGTCTCGAATGGCTCACGACCAACCTAGACTGCTGGCTGGACATTCGGGGTTGTTGACCTTTGTCTTAGAATGAATGGCGAAACCGCGTGAGCAAATATTTGGCGTGCATACGCCTGGCATCGTCATCTCGGATGTACCTGTCAATCCGCTGACTGGCTTGCTCACCCGAACTGAGTGACTAACTGACTAACCATAGAAAACGGTCGATGTTAGCCTGGATTCCAATGATAGAAATTGAGGTTTCGCTTCAAAACAATCATTTATAGGACAGACAGCATTTGGCCTCGGCCAGTTGACCTCAATCCTATGGTCTAGTAGCATTTCCTGACATGGTAGCTCAAAACTGACACTACAGAGAGATCGACATTAGAAGTCCAGACATGCAAATCCATCACAAAACGCTGACAGTCAGCCTATTGCAAACCTATTTATCTTCAAAAACATAAATGATATCCAAGTAAGGGTAAGTACATAATAAAGTACTGGAGGATCATATCCGGACTCACTTTTAATTTTCTAGTAAATAGCAAACAACTAGCAAAGAATGAGTGCTGGTGTGATGTCTAGTGCAAATGAAGCCTCATTAGGTTGGTAGCGAGAACCGGTTCGAATCCGATGCAGATTTACCTGTCCAGTGGTTGAACCGTGAGACACTTGCACATAGTCATGATAAGAGAAACGGTTTGCGTAGAGCTGGATGCGCTCCTGAGGATGAGACTGTATATCATATGTAAATCGGAAATGTCGGCGGACAAACTGGAAGGGCGATAACGAAATGCAGGTCGGAAAATCCAATATTATTCGACCGTTGGTTCCCTCGCCGCGTCGGTTGCAAGCCTTTTGTCACTAACCAAGGTCGCAACATCAATGCGGCTTTGGAAGGCGGAGCACAGTAATGCGTTAGTGGTTGCGCGCTGATTCGTGGAGTGTGCGCTACTGGCCGACTAACTTCCAGTTACGACTGGAAGGTTCTGTTGGTTGACGCGTTTGTTGATGTCCACATGAGCTCTGAGCTCGGTCTCCCCTGCTCTCATCCATTAATCGTTTCTGGAGTGACGTCTACCATCTAGGCTACACATGGTGAACTTTTCTGCCATGCTTCGTCCGATAGTTGGCTCCATTTGAGTATTACGGTTAAGTCAATGGTCTTTTGTATAGATTGACTTAACTTACGGGAGACAGTGTAATCATTTTTTTCGGCAAGTGATAAAAGTAGTTAAAGCGCGGTTTTTCTGACCATCGTGCTCATAAACATACCTATGCTACAACTAAATTTCGCCGTCATCCCTTACCTAGTTGGTTCTGACCCCGGTAATTCACTCTAGGCCGCTATTATGGCAACTACTCCTCAGTGGTAGGAGTCAATTCATAGAAAATATTTGTCCAATGCTTTCAAAAAAATGCCAAAGTCGTTGTGATGCGACAACTCGTTCAGAAAATACCAACCCAATATTCTCGAAGGTATAGTAGGGTTTTGCTCGTTCTTCCAGTGTTAAGAACTCAAACACTTCGGAATTATTCGGTTGGGCGTGTCTACGTAAGCCACTATTGTTTTTTTCACCATTTGGTATCACCGGTACCAGTATTGTGCTTTTCTCACGCGCATTCACACACGCTGTTGGTTCGGTGGGCTTCTGCACCTAAGTGCCTCAGTACTCGGCCTTCTTCATGAGGTATATCTAGAAAAACTGGCCATTTGAAAACAGTTGCACACTCACCTAATAAGCAGTGTTTACAAGTCTATGTGAGTTATAGTGTGCTTATTCTTGCTTAGGCGATCATTCATGACCTGGATCACGTTTGCGATTCTTGGTTGAACAAACAGTTTATTATTCTCGTTAGACCGTCTCCAATAAGGAATGGCTTCGAAATCCCAGGAAATGTTTTGGATGTGAACCCAAGTTTGATACTTCTGAGCAAGAAAAAACAAAGATGAAAACAGGCAGCTCATGGACTGAATAATTCTAATTCTAAAATTGATCGTTCCGAATTGGAAAAACTGGGATATTTAGGAATAATACTGGCACTTCACTCAATATACCCCTCGCCGTCAAACAAACAAACAAAAAACATTCGCGTCCTGGTTCAACTCACCATGGCACTGAATCAGGCGTGTAATACCTGCGGCTTGTTCCAGAGTGTCAATATTCTGTGTGTAGTTGCGTAACAGCGTTCCTTTTGATTCCAGTAGAGCAACAAACCGATGTGTAAGAGACGGAGCGAATTGTCCTGGAAAAATTTCCTGGAAACAAGTGAATGAAAGGTCACCAAAACGAAACCCACGATGAAGAAAGGAGCATAAAAACAGCTTGGCTATAAACAACACCTCCATCTAATGTAGAAAAAGAACTAACCTTTGCAAACTTGAAAAAGGGCAATGGGTTTCGGAGGAAATAGGACATGTCGAACATTGACTGGGGACTGGATAAATCTGGGTAATCCTTGGCTAATCGTGCATAAATTCCATCACGCGACCGGAAGTCCGGGATACCGCAGGACACGGAAATACCGGCACCAGTGACAACCAGAATGAACCGAGACGATTGCAACAATTCCACAACTTTCTCCAGCGTGTTCACATGTGGTAACCTCGGTCGAGGCATTGGCTCGGCCAGAAGGGACAACAAAAGTCCCCACTGTTGACTAGTCTCGTTCGGCACCGACTTATCGTCCATTCCGAACATTCGTGTGAGTAAAAGTCGAGGATCTGTGTGGCCAGCCTGAAGCAGAGCGTTCAACATCTTGAACGGGCCTGTACGGGCAGAAAGGCCAAGGAGTAATGATACTCGACAATAAAAAACATAATGGGAAATCGAATTACATGGAAAGTGGAACAGAGGGAACGAACTCTAGGATGTCCACAGGAACGGGACCGAACAGATTTCACGCTGCGCGACAACTGGTTGAGTTGCCTGGTAGTGGAAAATTTAGCTGCAGATTTTTTTTTCACTAAACCAAAAGTTTGATCACCATGGATGACCCTCACCATGGGAAAAATAATCAGGACCATGAAGGATAAAAGAAACAAAGGTTGACTGGTATCCACTGGTTTGTAGCCAACCTTAAAGAGGTTGATCAACTAGTCAAGGTGTTACAGCCGTGTGCGTGCCCTCAAGCTGAGGTAAGCTAGCCGCGCTATTTGGTTGCTGTTTACGAGCTCTAACTAAACAGAGGATATGGAGTGATCCACTGAGTCTGGCTGACTGTACGCGAATTGCCAAAGTTTCCGCACCGCACCGTTCTACGTTTTTTGTCAGACCTTTGTGAACTGGTTGAACTTGGTCAAATAAAATCCTGTGGTTTTCTGCCAATGTGTCGAAAAACAGGTTTTTAGAATCGCGAGGGGTAGGGGGGATAGAAAGCAACTAACGTTTTTTTCTACCACTCATCAACCCGAAAAAAATAATCCCAATATCGCAAATGCTGAATCTAAAGTTGATGAAATCCATAATCATCCTCATTGATTACGATGGCTTTTGTCGCAGTGAAACAGACCAATCAGCTACGCCCTGTAGGGATTCGTCTCACAACTGAGTACGTGGTGACATGTTCAGCAGTTAAATAGTTCATCTGCCTGAATCATTCCAGTAACTCACGGGTGGCTGCTGTTCTTGTGATATTCAATGATGGGGGCATTCTGCTACTGCAACTTTAATAAATTCATTATGAAGAGCTGGAAGCACGTAATAGATGCTTTCTTCAGTTGAATTTATATCCACACGGGTGAGATGACTCAGTGGTTAGAGCGCGAATTTTCCGACCGGAAGGTTCGTGGTTCGAATCCGACCTCTGCCTCTTGACTTCTTGTGTCTAAGCTTGGACACACCTGGCGGTATTCCAGCCCTCGTGTTTATTCGAGTGGCATAGCTATTATACACCGAAGGGGTGTTCCAGCTGAATAATCTTTTTATCTCCAGAGTAAGGAGAGGAATGCCACTACACTAACGCCAAAATATAGCTTCCCTGACGATAAGGGTGGGAAAAATTCAACAGGATAAGGGGACGGCAGGAAAATAGTATCCCCATCGCTTCACAATGACCGGAAGTACCCACTAATGTGATAGGAACGGATTTTACACAATAGCTTGTGGGAAGTTACTCTTGTGGAAACAAGAAAACGTTTACACTTAAAAGTAGTGTCATTATGGTTGTCCAGGTAGAACAAAATTTTCCAAAGCCTTCAAACGCGACGGCAAAAGCAGAACGAAAAAGCATAAACTCCCAGTGCAGCTATTTCTTTTGAGAATGCGTGGTAAAAAGGTGCCTATACTTCGATGAATCAAAAGACTGGGTAGTAGTAATAAGAACAACATTATTGACAAAAAGCAGAACTAGGTACACTGGTTAAAATCAGGTTGGTGCTTATTCTAAAAGAAGCTAGACTTGGTAGTCTTCATATTTAACCGACTAAGTAGGAACGGGTTTTTAACATAGATTGATTTCACTAATAGGACGAAATTCTAACTGGAAAATAGAAGGGGTCAACTAAGAGAAGCTTTATTGAAGATAGATTTATCGAGATATTAAAAATCATTGCCTACGCAAGCATCCATGGTCGATCGTCATCTCAGCAGTTGTAAGAACGAGGAAGATGAGTCAAAATGGCATTTTGGGATACTGTCCGAGCTAAAGGTCTTTGACATCTTTGGTGCCCGAGGGAACTAGTTGTCTATGGTAGCATTCTTTTGAGGCCTGACGTGCGCTTACATGTCGATGCTTCGTTCACTCACCAAACTCTCATCGATTTTAGGAAGTCGTTGGATAGTGCGTGAGCTTACATCCTTGTTGAATAGTCGAGCTACTCTGGATAAACAAAGAAACGGATCATTCTATTACGGAGGTATACAGGCACATTGGAATAACGAAAAAACGACAAGGTGCACATGAAGCAAACTACAGCTGAAGGAAGAAGTGTTGTCAAACCAAAGCCACCAGCTTCAAACGTAGAGCAAGTTTATGGGAAACCGTACAAGTCTCATAACGTGTCAGTTGGACCGGAACTCGATACAATGGATTCCAAAAGAATAAAAAACGATAGTATTTTGAGAGACCGAGTTATCATTCACAAAACCGGTGGCAATCCTTCGAAGGAGCTGACTTAAGAGCAACGAAAAACAAAAAGGTCACATACACTTTTCCAGATAGTTATCAGATATAATTGTGTGCAAAAGTTAGGACAGTCTATACACAAACGGAGGACATCATGAATAACAATATAGTTACCATGGACATCGCGCCACTTCTCTTCTCCACGAGTGTCTTCCACTGTAACGATTTCACAGTCGTCGTCATCCGATGCTTCCAATCCATCATCATCCACTGAAACCACACTAGTAGAACTAGCAGGACTGGCGGAATCTTCTAATTCTTGGTCGCTGCAATGATCACCGTTGAGTGAAGGTCTGGATTCAGTTTCCTCTTCGGAGCTGACAACAACGACTTCAGAGGACTCTGACATGGACAATAATAGCTGAAATGCACGGAGTGACGATGACTACTGGACACAACAGATCAGCAAAAACTATCCTACTTCTGTCTGTACCATAGCTCACTTCTGTAAGATAGTCATCATCATCATCATCGACAGCATGATATCAGTGTTCGACACCGAAGCTTCACTGCCGTAGGATAGGCCTGTCTCGGAATTTGTCAAGGTCCAGTTCAGTTCATTTTTGGTTACAAATTGTGTACCGAAGTACAGTGGCTTCAGCTCCTACAGCTTCGTTTACTGGGGATAAGGAGAATGAGGGAGTGAGAGCCACACGTTGAGGAAATGGCCCAATCGGCCACAAAAATTGCTGTAGCGTATTGGGACCCGATTCATTCATCACTAGTTCATCTCCAATCTAATGAATATTTCATTCCAGATTACTTGAATCAGTGTCTGGAGGTGTATGCACCTCGTAATGATTGTACCAAGTACGTACCAAGTCGCCCATCCAGTTTGATTCATTTCTTCACATTAAGGATTTAAAACAAATCATGGATGTACGGCAGCGAAGCGTTAGTGTTGAAAACCGATATCACGCTGTCGATGATGACGATGATGAGTGTCAATAACCATTAGTCAGTTGAGACCCTAGGAACCCAACCAGTGAGATGGCATGGGCCTACCCGACTCATTTTACTGGCCAATGGTTTCGTGCTTCGTTGCCGGGTCATAGACTGTCCACCTCTCGGTTGCTTACACTCATAACACAGGTGGATGAAAAGATCTATGCGAAGCAGACGGTTTTCTGGCGTGCGGAGTACATGCCGCAACCAGCGTACCTATGAAGCGTGAGTAATACAACTAATGCGAGAGAATTCCTTCTTCCTAGGACCATCTGTCGCACCTCAGCCAGACGCGACCAATAGTACGGAGAAACCTGTGGCCAAACACTGACACCTTTCGTACGTCCTCTGTGCGTAGAGGGCAGGTCTCTGATCCATAGCGTACTATGGATCACACTGCTCCTGACAAGCTGACGTCATGTCAGTGCCATCTAACTTATAAGCAATCTTCGTCATCCACATGACCTTGAGTTTACAGTAGCTTTCTAGCCATATCAGCTACTCTTGAACTATGAAATTCGTCGAAGTTGACGAATGGAATTGCACTGCTTTGGCACGAATGGTGCGGAAGGGAAGCGAAGTGATAATCTGGCTCGTACAATATGAACAGAGTCAAGTTGCGTACCCCAGAAGGAATGAGACTATCCATCGGCAACTGATAGCCACATGGTCCAAATGAGTCCATGACTGTCTTGCGTTTGGTGGCCTCCAAGTAACTCGATGTGAGCGCTTGTGTTGGAAATTTGTACTAGCCAGGAATAGCTGCACACAACTGCAGCAGTCGCTTCCCATAATCCATACGCTAAGTATCGACTCCAAATTTAACACCAAATTGTGCTTCTTTTGGACTTTGTCGCCTAACCTGGACATTCACATCCCCCGCAGGATCACTATATCAGTCCTTCTTGCTGATTGAATCAGTCGCGACAGATCTGGATAAAACCCGTCCTTCTGTCTTTGAACTGCAGTCCATCAGAGCGTATGCAGATGCGATAAGTAAATACCGTTTACTGAATCGACCTGCATTGAAGTTTATTAAGCCAGACACTCTCACAGCACAAAGACAACTGTTTACTGGGATCCAGTCCAGTCAGGCGCTTTCATCTTTGGGGCTGAGTGCAAGTTCCATACTATAGATGCCATGAGGCATTGCGTGAGGACCGTCAGATACCCGAAGAGGGGAATGTGGAACATCTGAGCTCGTCCTAAGCCAAGTACGTACCAAGTCGCCCATCCAGTTTGATTCATTTCTTCACATTAAGGATTTAAAACAAATCATGGATGTACGGCAGCGAAGCGTTAGTGTTGAAAACCGATATCACGCTGTCGATGATGACGATGATGAGTGTCAATAACCATTAGTCAGTTGAGTCCCTAGGAACCCAACCAGTGAGATGGCATGGGCCTACCCGACTCATTTTACTGGCCAATGGTTTCGTGCTTCGTTGCCGGGTCATAGACTGTCCACCTCTCGGTTGCTTACACTCATAACACAGGTGGATGAAAAGATCTATGCGAAGCAGACGGTTTTCTGGCGTGCGGAGTACATGCCGCAACCAGCGTACCTATGAAGCGTGAGTAATACAACTAATGCGAGAGAATTCCTTCTTCCTAGGACCATCTGTCGCACCTCAGCCAGACGCGACCAATAGTACGGAGAAACCTGTGGCCAAACACTGACACCTTTCGTACGTCCTCTGTGCGTAGAGGGCAGGTCTCTGATCCATAGCGTACTATGGATCACACTGCTCCTGACAAGCTGACGTCATGTCAGTGCCATCTAACTTATAAGCAATCTTCGTCATCCACATGACCTTGAGTTTACAGTAGCTTTCTAGCCATATCAGCTACTCTTGAACTATGAAATTCGTCGAAGTTGACGAATGGAATTGCACTGCTTTGGCACGAATGGTGCGGAAGGGAAGCGAAGTGATAATCTGGCTCGTACAATATGAACAGAGTCAAGTTGCGTACCCCAGAAGGAATGAGACTATCCATCGGCAACTGATAGCCACATGGTCCAAATGAGTCCATGACTGTCTTGCGTTTGGTGGCCTCCAAGTAACTCGATGTGAGCGCTTGTGTTGGAAATTTGTACTAGCCAGGAATAGCTGCACACAACTGCAGCAGTCGCTTCCCATAATCCATACGCTAAGTATCGACTCCAAATTTAACACCAAATTGTGCTTCTTTTGGACTTTGTCGCCTAACCTGGACATTCACATCCCCCGCAGGATCACTATATCAGTCCTTCTTGCTGATTGAATCAGTCGCGACAGATCTGGATAAAACCCGTCCTTCTGTCTTTGAACTGCAGTCCATCAGAGCGTATGCAGATGCGATAAGTAAATACCGTTTACTGAATCGACCTGCATTGAAGTTTATTAAGCCAGACACTCTCACAGCACAAAGACAACTGTTTACTGGGATCCAGTCCAGTCAGGCGCTTTCATCTTTGGGGCTGAGTGCAAGTTCCATACTATAGATGCCATGAGGCATTGCGTGAGGACCGTCAGATACCCGAAGAGGGGAATGTGGAACATCTGAGCTCGTCCTAAGCGGCTTAATGTGCACAACCGAAGTGGGGCCTTGTATGTGCATCTCGGAGACACATCATACACCGATAGATAGGGAAAACAAGGTTTCAGCAACAGATGCCTGTCGCCCGATTCGACATAGGGTACGGACATTAAAGGCTGCAATGTGGATAAGATCTCTTGTGGTTAGTAAGTGACTATTTTTGTCTATTTTCCGGGGCGATGGTTCAGACACGGAGCAATGGCTAGGGGATTGGCAGATGTGTTGATCTCACTGCATCGTTCGGTGGGTGGGGAGAAGGTGTGGGGGAAGTCCAGTGAACGAAGAGCTGCAAGAGGGAATGATACATTCCGGTTGCCTAAGCCGGAGGGGTTTTGGTTGAGGTACCCCACATGGCATCCTTGGCTCAAAAGTTCGACTCAGGTGGCAGTGGGAGGATGTAGCGTTTTGTTCGGAGCTGCAAGAATGATACATTCCGGTTGCCTAAGCCGGAGGGGTTTTGGTTGAGGTACCCCACATGGCATCCTTGGCTCAAAAGTTCGACTGACTCAGCAGTGGGAGGATGTAGCGTTTTGTTCGGGACCCTGTCCCTAGCCTCTAACTTCGTGAGGTAGTGGTTGTTAGGGTTTTCTTGAAGGACCCTTCCCCGATCCAGTGACTGAATAGTCTGACCCACTTGGTTGGCACAGGGATTAAGGCATTAATGTCTTATTCCTAATGCAGCTGCGCAAAGTAAGTGCCTTCTGAACAGCACCAGACTCTGGTTTGAAAAGTATTTCGATCGTATTGAATAACGAGCCGGCGGTCATGGTCAAACGTCGGGCAATCGGAGTGTGGGGTTTTCAGGGCCGACCTTTTCTAGCCCGTCCTTTCTCGAGATAAGGCAGTACCGCTGCTTCCATAAATATGGACATGCTGGTCGCCTTGGGGAAACACCTTACTGCATTTGCACTACTATCAAAAATGACGGTACTTTACCTCCAGACCGCCTTGTAATGCGATATTTCACAGTACGGGTATTGTGGAAGCTACAGCCACTCTAAGATAAGTACACAGTTCTTACAGTTGACAATGATTATGATGATGTGGATGGAACGGCGGCAATCGGACATGGATTACATCATACTCCCAACAAAATCCTGCGAATACCAATAAGGTAAGGTGACTACCATTGTAGGATACAATGGCTTATAGAGCTCCGAAATTGACGAATACTCATCAGAATTCCAAAGTTGTAATGGCAGTTGTGAGACTGTCCACTTGCTATAAGCATCGACGACTGAATGGTATTGTATATTCAACATGAAAACGAGACCAGGGTTCGGCAAGTTGTTGCCACGTACACAGATAAGTTTTGATGGTAAATTAGCTTCTCCATACTCAAATCAACCTTTAGAGACCAAGTCAATCTAAGAGATCATTATAAACAGCGCAAGGATGGATAGGGAGCGCTGATGGATCGCAAGAGCCAGAGAAACGGGGAAAGCTTTTACAATGTGTACGTATCACACTCTGTTCCCGTTGGCCCGATCAACTGTTACGAGGTCGTGTTGGTGAAACGACTTTCGAAAAAGAGGGGATCCCAATACATTCACAAAGAAGTAGTATTGAACAACGGGCAGAACACTTTGAAGAACAGTTTAGCTTCTGCGATGCTCTCTGGTATTATCCCACAAAGGTCCACCTATCCACCATCAGGACAGTCAGGTTCACAAAAGTAAGACTGTTTCGCCCTGACCATCATCTTCATCGTCACCAGAGACAACTAAATCAGTGTTGGTATTGATGCCTCACTGCAACACAACCACAAAGCTTATCCAATTACATTTGAATTCTTGGAGTGAAAAGAAGAGTGGATGAGGGAAGGGATCTGATGCAGGTTTATCTGAGGTGCTCAATCGAACAAGCCGGAAAATGACAGCATGAAATCCACTCATATCGATCATTCGATACCAGTAACACTTCTGAAGAATTGGCAGTCGAAATCCCGAAGACGTCTTGCATCATCAGTCGCGTAATCAAACAACAATAAAGCCCTTACTGTAGCCTGGTACACGCAGCCCTTGAGACCGAGTGACATGTCTCATTACTGCCAAATATGGGGCAACGACCGAGGTGTGAAAATCCTCCATCGTTCATCTGTAGCACCCTTTCGGTGCCTAACTGCCATATCACCTCCATAAACTCTAAGGATTCTTTTTGAATTGTAAGAGATATTCCAGAGGATGAACGTTCTGAATCATGAGTTTTCACTTTGAAGGCACTAGATACATGCCGAAAGATGGTATGACGATGGTCAGTTTATCCAGCAGAGCTTGCGCCTCACTTTCATCCTCAAAGATGGAGGGAGATGGGGCGAGATGGCCCAAGTGGTTAGAGCGCAAATTTACTGACCGGAAGGTCCATGGTTCGAACTCGACCCCTAACTCTCGACTTCCCCTGTCTAGGCTTGGGCAACCTGGCAGTATCCTAGCCCTCATGCAACCTTCGGGTGGCATGGAAGTTAGGCACCGAAAGGGTGCCGTAGCTGAACGATATATATATATATGTATATTTTCTTCAGTTGAATTTATATCCACACGGGTGAGATGACTCAGTGGTTAGAGCGCGAATTTTCCGACCGGAAGGTTCGTGGTTCGAATCCGACCTCTGCCTCTTGACTTCTTGTGTCTAAGCTTGGACACACCTGGCGGTATTCCAGCCCTCGTGTTTATTCGAGTGGCATAGCTATTATACACCGAAGGGGTGTTCCAGCTGAATAATCTTTTTATCTCCAGAGTAAGGAGAGGAATGCCACTACACTAACGCCAAAATATAGCTTCCCTGACGATAAGGGTGGGAAAAATTCAACAGGATAAGGGGACGGCAGGAAAATAGTATCCCCATCGCTTCACAATGACCGGAAGTACCCACTAATGTGATAGGAACGGATTTTACACAATAGCTTGTGGGAAGTTACTCTTGTGGAAACAAGAAAACGTTTACACTTAAAAGTAGTGTCATTATGGTTGTCCAGGTAGAACAAAATTTTCCAAAGCCTTCAAACGCGACGGCAAAAGCAGAACGAAAAAGCATAAACTCCCAGTGCAGCTATTTCTTTTGAGAATGCGTGGTAAAAAGGTGCCTATACTTCGATGAATCAAAAGACTGGGTAGTAGTAATAAGAACAACATTATTGACAAAAAGCAGAACTAGGTACACTGGTTAAAATCAGGTTGGTGCTTATTCTAAAAGAAGCTAGACTTGGTAGTCTTCATATTTAACCGACTAAGTAGGAACGGGTTTTTAACATAGATTGATTTCACTAATAGGACGAAATTCTAACTGGAAAATAGAAGGGGTCAACTAAGAGAAGCTTTATTGAAGATAGATTTATCGAGATATTAAAAATCATTGCCTACGCAAGCATCCATGGTCGATCGTCATCTCAGCAGTTGTAAGAACGAGGAAGATGAGTCAAAATGGCATTTTGGGATACTGTCCGAGCTAAAGGTCTTTGACATCTTTGGTGCCCGAGGGAACTAGTTGTCTATGGTAGCATTCTTTTGAGGCCTGACGTGCGCTTACATGTCGATGCTTCGTTCACTCACCAAACTCTCATCGATTTTAGGAAGTCGTTGGATAGTGCGTGAGCTTACATCCTTGTTGAATAGTCGAGCTACTCTGGATAAACAAAGAAACGGATCATTCTATTACGGAGGTATACAGGCACATTGGAATAACGAAAAAACGACAAGGTGCACATGAAGCAAACTACAGCTGAAGGAAGAAGTGTTGTCAAACCAAAGCCACCAGCTTCAAACGTAGAGCAAGTTTATGGGAAACCGTACAAGTCTCATAACGTGTCAGTTGGACCGGAACTCGATACAATGGATTCCAAAAGAATAAAAAACGATAGTATTTTGAGAGACCGAGTTATCATTCACAAAACCGGTGGCAATCCTTCGAAGGAGCTGACTTAAGAGCAACGAAAAACAAAAAGGTCACATACACTTTTCCAGATAGTTATCAGATATAATTGTGTGCAAAAGTTAGGACAGTCTATACACAAACGGAGGACATCATGAATAACAATATAGTTACCATGGACATCGCGCCACTTCTCTTCTCCACGAGTGTCTTCCACTGTAACGATTTCACAGTCGTCGTCATCCGATGCTTCCAATCCATCATCATCCACTGAAACCACACTAGTAGAACTAGCAGGACTGGCGGAATCTTCTAATTCTTGGTCGCTGCAATGATCACCGTTGAGTGAAGGTCTGGATTCAGTTTCCTCTTCGGAGCTGACAACAACGACTTCAGAGGACTCTGACATGGACAATAATAGCTGAAATGCACGGAGTGACGATGACTACTGGACACAACAGATCAGCAAAAACTATCCTACTTCTGTCTGTACCATAGCTCACTTCTGTAAGATAGTCATCATCATCATCATCGACAGCATGATATCAGTGTTCGACACCGAAGCTTCACTGCCGTAGGATAGGCCTGTCTCGGAATTTGTCAAGGTCCAGTTCAGTTCATTTTTGGTTACAAATTGTGTACCGAAGTACAGTGGCTTCAGCTCCTACAGCTTCGTTTACTGGGGATAAGGAGAATGAGGGAGTGAGAGCCACACGTTGAGGAAATGGCCCAATCGGCCACAAAAATTGCTGTAGCGTATTGGGACCCGATTCATTCATCACTAGTTCATCTCCAATCTAATGAATATTTCATTCCAGATTACTTGAATCAGTGTCTGGAGGTGTATGCACCTCGTAATGATTGTACCAAGTACGTACCAAGTCGCCCATCCAGTTTGATTCATTTCTTCACATTAAGGATTTAAAACAAATCATGGATGTACGGCAGCGAAGCGTTAGTGTTGAAAACCGATATCACGCTGTCGATGATGACGATGATGAGTGTCAATAACCATTAGTCAGTTGAGTCCCTAGGAACCCAACCAGTGAGATGGCATGGGCCTACCCGACTCATTTTACTGGCCAATGGTTTCGTGCTTCGTTGCCGGGTCATAGACTGTCCACCTCTCGGTTGCTTACACTCATAACACAGGTGGATGAAAAGATCTATGCGAAGCAGACGGTTTTCTGGCGTGCGGAGTACATGCCGCAACCAGCGTACCTATGAAGCGTGAGTAATACAACTAATGCGAGAGAATTCCTTCTTCCTAGGACCATCTGTCGCACCTCAGCCAGACGCGACCAATAGTACGGAGAAACCTGTGGCCAAACACTGACACCTTTCGTACGTCCTCTGTGCGTAGAGGGCAGGTCTCTGATCCATAGCGTACTATGGATCACACTGCTCCTGACAAGCTGACGTCATGTCAGTGCCATCTAACTTATAAGCAATCTTCGTCATCCACATGACCTTGAGTTTACAGTAGCTTTCTAGCCATATCAGCTACTCTTGAACTATGAAATTCGTCGAAGTTGACGAATGGAATTGCACTGCTTTGGCACGAATGGTGCGGAAGGGAAGCGAAGTGATAATCTGGCTCGTACAATATGAACAGAGTCAAGTTGCGTACCCCAGAAGGAATGAGACTATCCATCGGCAACTGATAGCCACATGGTCCAAAACCCTGTCCCTAGCCTCTAACTTCGTGAGGTAGTGGTTGTTAGGGTTTTCTTGAAGGACCCTTCCCCGATCCAGTGACTGAATAGTCTGACCCACTTGGTTGGCACAGGGATTAAGGCATTAATGTCTTATTCCTAATGCAGCTGCGCAAAGTAAGTGCCTTCTGAACAGCACCAGACTCTGGTTTGAAAAGTATTTCGATCGTATTGAATAACGAGCCGGCGGTCATGGTCAAACGTCGGGCAATCGGAGTGTGGGGTTTTCAGGGCCGACCTTTTCTAGCCCGTCCTTTCTCGAGATAAGGCAGTACCGCTGCTTCCATAAATATGGACATGCTGGTCGCCTTGGGGAAACACCTTACTGCATTTGCACTACTATCAAAAATGACGGTACTTTACCTCCAGACCGCCTTGTAATGCGATATTTCACAGTACGGGTATTGTGGAAGCTACAGCCACTCTAAGATAAGTACACAGTTCTTACAGTTGACAATGATTATGATGATGTGGATGGAACGGCGGCAATCGGACATGGATTACATCATACTCCCAACAAAATCCTGCGAATACCAATAAGGTAAGGTGACTACCATTGTAGGATACAATGGCTTATAGAGCTCCGAAATTGACGAATACTCATCAGAATTCCAAAGTTGTAATGGCAGTTGTGAGACTGTCCACTTGCTATAAGCATCGACGACTGAATGGTATTGTATATTCAACATGAAAACGAGACCAGGGTTCGGCAAGTTGTTGCCACGTACACAGATAAGTTTTGATGGTAAATTAGCTTCTCCATACTCAAATCAACCTTTAGAGACCAAGTCAATCTAAGAGATCATTATAAACAGCGCAAGGATGGATAGGGAGCGCTGATGGATCGCAAGAGCCAGAGAAACGGGGAAAGCTTTTACAATGTGTACGTATCACACTCTGTTCCCGTTGGCCCGATCAACTGTTACGAGGTCGTGTTGGTGAAACGACTTTCGAAAAAGAGGGGATCCCAATACATTCACAAAGAAGTAGTATTGAACAACGGGCAGAACACTTTGAAGAACAGTTTAGCTTCTGCGATGCTCTCTGGTATTATCCCACAAAGGTCCACCTATCCACCATCAGGACAGTCAGGTTCACAAAAGTAAGACTGTTTCGCCCTGACCATCATCTTCATCGTCACCAGAGACAACTAAATCAGTGTTGGTATTGATGCCTCACTGCAACACAACCACAAAGCTTATCCAATTACATTTGAATTCTTGGAGTGAAAAGAAGAGTGGATGAGGGAAGGGATCTGATGCAGGTTTATCTGAGGTGCTCAATCGAACAAGCCGGAAAATGACAGCATGAAATCCACTCATATCGATCATTCGATACCAGTAACACTTCTGAAGAATTGGCAGTCGAAATCCCGAAGACGTCTTGCATCATCAGTCGCGTAATCAAACAACAATAAAGCCCTTACTGTAGCCTGGTACACGCAGCCCTTGAGACCGAGTGACATGTCTCATTACTGCCAAATATGGGGCAACGACCGAGGTGTGAAAATCCTCCATCGTTCATCTGTAGCACCCTTTCGGTGCCTAACTGCCATATCACCTCCATAAACTCTAAGGATTCTTTTTGAATTGTAAGAGATATTCCAGAGGATGAACGTTCTGAATCATGAGTTTTCACTTTGAAGGCACTAGATACATGCCGAAAGATGGTATGACGATGGTCAGTTTATCCAGCAGAGCTTGCGCCTCACTTTCATCCTCAAAGATGGAGGGAGATGGGGCGAGATGGCCCAAGTGGTTAGAGCGCAAATTTACTGACCGGAAGGTCCATGGTTCGAACTCGACCCCTAACTCTCGACTTCCCCTGTCTAGGCTTGGGCAACCTGGCAGTATCCTAGCCCTCATGCAACCTTCGGGTGGCATGGAAGTTAGGCACCGAAAGGGTGCCGTAGCTGAACGATATATATATATATGTATATCGAAGACCTTCCAGCGTTCGCCTCATTAGTTTATCAGCGATGAAGTTGAACGAGAATGGAGACGGTGGACAACCTTGTCGGACAACTTTTTATGGCAAAGCTTTTGGAGAGCTGACCATACACTCTCACCCCAGAAGTATGTGGATACAGGGACCAGATTAAGTTCACAAACGCCTGGAGCATAACGTGTTGGGCAGATGTGGTTAAGTCCGTGGTTCAAACCCAAATTCAACATCTCGACTGCTCCTGTCTAGGCTTGGGTAATGTAGCAGTACCCCAGTCCTCGTGCTTCCTTCCGTTGGCATGACAGCTAAGCAGCGAGAGGGTGATACAGCTGAACGATAGTTTTTTCTGCACCAGTCCAGTAGCCCTCTGAGATCCGCTGCAGTTCAGAATTGCATTCTACGGAAACTGTCTTCCTTCACAGCTTCGCATCGTCGGCGAATAATGGATAGATTTAGCAGAGATAACATGAGCAAGAGGCTACACACGGTTGAGTTCAAGCACAGCCCCGTGTATTACACTATCGACGGTTTTTTCTAATCCGAGAAAGCGTCGTTTTAATCTCTGTGGAAAAGAGAATTCCATCCAACTAGAGGGAGACCCATTGATTCCCATTGATGTTCCAAGTTGGAAGCCTTACTGATGCCAATAACCACAATACGCGTAGTTTCTCGACATCCCCCATATCACATCAAGCCTTTCGAGCTATCAGCAAACTTGCGATGCACGACCACCTAACTGTTGTCTATAGCCGAACTGAAGCGGGCGTTGCGCGTGTAGAAAAGTGTATTCGGTTCTCTCATGACTTTCCTTACCAAGCCCTTGAGATTACTGACGTTGTTAAGACCGATCTGTCGTCACTTACTATTGGAGATGGTTTAACTAGTCCTACACTCCAGTCTTCGGGAATAACTCCCATTCGAGTGATAGGTTGTACGTATGTGCCAGAGATGCAGTGAAAAGGGATATGTTATGGAACATAATGGGGTGAACCGCATTCGAACTTGGTGCTTCGTGCTATCAAGAGTTCGTAGTACCGTTCTGGTCCCGTGGGACTACACATTATCTCACGTAGACATTACTCTAAGCCGTAAAAGTCCTTCTGGTTTTGGTGCGCGGTGGGTGTTTTTGAACGATATGTTATGCCCGTTTCCGAGTTGTGGCGATGATTTCACCTTCCGCGTACAGTAGCTCTGGAAGTTGCCATTTTCATTATTTCTAGAGTTGGCGTAGGTACTGTCATGACTATATAATCCACACCTTTGCATAACCCATTAACTCGTGATTCTCACTCTATTTCCAGCTCATGTACTACAGTTATTAGACGATTAAAACATACATTACGTCTTCCTATTCTGTCTCCTTTCTAATCCCGTCCTGGAACTACTCGACTCTCGCAACAGGTACATGTTCCTTCTTATGTGGCTTTCGCCGTTGGTATCTGTCTTTACTTGGGTGCGCTTCATTCATCAGCGCTGATTCCGTTTCTGGTCCCATTGTGGTGTTGCAGATATCCGGACATCCACCCTTTCCGCAGCGCCACGAAGCTTTTACTAGCCTTCTTATGCTTGAAAGCTGACATCCGACGGGATCGACGAGGCGCAACCTTCATTTTTTTCTTTTTGGCACATACATCTCAGTTAGCTCCGCCGAATACTCCATGCACCTCCAATAGTTTGAGGCTGCTCCATGAGTCAATCCACGCAACCTGTACGAACCCTCACTCACTGAAAATCGACTTCCCATAGTGCGGAAAGCTAGCTGACAAGTGTCTTACACCACACTGCTTGAATTGAAAAACCCTAAGTAGAACTAACGAAAGTCATGGTACGATCGCGGTTTCATGCACCATCGTGAGGCCCAATAACGAGGCTGTATGATAACATCCAAAAGACTGATCCACCAGAATCGGTTGCCCGACTGAAGCGTGACAAAGGCAATAAAAGGATTGACCCCTGACATGATGTAGAGAGGAAACGGTCTCATAGTCATAAGGCAACTCATCATCATCATCATCATCAATGACAGATCCACCAGGGTTGCCCGACTGAAGCGTGACAAAGGCAATAAAAGGATTGACCCCTGACATGATGTAGAGAGGAAACGGTCTCATAGTCAGTCAGCAACTCATCATCATCATCATCATCAATGACAGCAACACCAGTGTTGGCACTGATGCTTCACTGCCGTACAACCATAAAGTTCGTTTAGTTATATATATATATATATATATA